ATTAGCTTTTGCAAATGATCACTTATAATGAGAATCTTGAACCAAATCAAGAGTGATATGATGAGGCTTCTCAGTGATGCTACCTGTGTATAACTTTTCAGGCAATGCCTCTGGTTAGCCTTGGGCCAGCCCCAGCCCTACAGCCTTCTCATGCTACACTGTTTAAGAGAACTGATGAGGAAGAAAGTATCTAGCAAAATACCAATTGAAGGATGAATTAAAGTTATGCCTTAATTCAAAGCTTGAAGTTTTCCTGGTTTCTCTTTTGAGCTGACAGAAATCAGTTAGTCATAGTATAATATAAACTGCTCACTTATATTATGGCTCCAAATTTCCCCAACAGAATGTAGTTTCTCAAACTATTCCCCACAATTCAACTTCTGTTTCCCTTAAAAATGACAAAATAAAGGTAAGTTAAAGCATGGCCACTAGCTACTTCTAAACAGAAAATTGGGAGTCTATGGGTACAGTAATGTGACTCAACCATAGCTCCTATCAATGAATCAGACTTAAGCATTACATGTTATTGGGATTCCATAAGTTGATAATGCATTGTGTACAAAGTATTGCAGTGAGAATCAAAGACCATCACAGAAATTCTACTATTTCCTGAAGTAATCAAGTGATTACTTAGGTCATCTTATGCAGGCAAACTCTGCATCTGTAACCACAAAGAGATATCCACCACTCTTCACCTCTCTCCTCATTTGAGATGTTCTTCTTCCTTTCCTCATCTACTTTCTGGGCCTATCACTCATTTCTCAACTAATTTTATAATTTTTTTCATGTTCTCTCATCCTCCTAATACCCTAAGACCCAATAATGATACTCACTCATACTGTCATCACCACTTAAATGAATTTTCCAGATCACTGGAGCTTACTGTTTTTGAAGGCTAAAATACTTCTAAAACTACTTTAATCATTTTGGTTGGGAGTTTTTAAAATGCGCCTTTGTTCCCTTTACTTCTTAACAGAGTGTACACCTACTGCTTAACTTGAAGCGTTCTTGACCATGCAGCCTCATCAATGTACACATCCCCTCAGGCCCTTCTGAGAAGTCTAGGACTCTTCCCTATAATACACAGCCCCAGAACACTGAATATTACCACTTCGTATCCTATCTCATTTTTATAGTTCTACATTTCCTTTTACTGTCAGAAGAGCTTTTACTTTTCATCACTATCATTATATCTGACTTCTTCCTCCTCCCCTCCTACTCCCTAATTTGCTGTGGGGTAGGTATCCAGACAAGCATAAATTCGTGTGTGAGAAGGATTTACTGGTACATATTCACTGTCTTTGAGTAAGGGCCTAAGGCTTGTCTTGTGAGTAAAGCTCATTGGATTTGTGACAACTATTTCAAGTGCTCAGACCTTTTTTACTTAATTCTGGGTTTGGTACCATATGAGTAATAAATGAAGATAAGTAAAGCAAACTAAAGCTTGACATCTGGATAGGTGGGGTATCACTGTCATTTGTATCAGATATTTATGCTTTTAGGCCACAGCAGCAATTTATCATCATTCTGCATTTCAACTGTAGACAGAAAATGAAGACAGAAAAGGGCTAGTGAGTCCTTTTCTTTGGCTAGTGGGAGATCATCAGATGGCCTGAGCTTCCTCAGACATCTCTGTCCTGCCCTTCCATTTCACTGCCTGTAGCTTAGGACGCTCATTTGTCATCAACTAAGTGAGCCAGCACCATCATCACAAGCTCGCCATGGCGTTCTCCCTTTCGAGACACCATTAATTACAGCACCTTTGCAGTTTTCTTTTCCTTTCTTTTTTTCTTTTTAATAAGAGAAAGTGATGACTTTTATTCATTCATCACAAATCCCTCTAAAATAAAAATACAGTTTCAGGAGTTTCTGCTTTATCACATTTGAAAATACTAATGACACTGGTGATCACGGTTTTTTTACCCACTGCTTGATCACGGTTGCTATTTTCTTTTTTAAAAATAAATGTTATTGTATACAACATGATGTTATGGAATACATATAGAGAGTAACATGGTTACTAGAGTGACGCAAATCAACATACCCATCATCTCACAGTTACCTATTTTTTTTTTGTTGTTTTTGTGGCAAGGGTAGCTAAAATCTACTCATATAGCATGAATCCCAAATACAGTACAATTTTGTTCCCTCTAGTCCTAAAGTCATCGCTTAGATTTCTTTTCAGTTTCTTACAATGGGACCTTGTTGTCATCAGTGGCACTTCCTTCAGTTTCCCCACTTAAGCCAGGCACTATCAAGATCCTGGTACACATATATGTGGTTCATTCCGTATCTTAAGATGCATTTTACTTTTTTCTTGCTCAAGCCTGCCAGAATTCTAATTCACGGCTCTTGCATATTTCTGTTTTCCAAACATCCCTCTCACCTCTCTCTACCCAAATCCATCCCAAATATAATAGTGCCCTACTCTTTCATCACTGGGCTGGCAATCTCTACTTCCTGAACGCTGTCATTGGTTGGCTCTCAAAATATTTCTTGCTTCCATTTGAATGCTATATTTTCCCCTTCAGATCTTTTTATAGTACTTCTTACCGCCCACCTCCTCCTGTTCAATCTTTACATTAGCACCTTCCAGTTTTATATGCTCCATATAGTTTTCAGATGGAATTAAAGACACATGTCGGAATTCTTTCTTTTCTCATCTGTCTACTCCCGAGTCCTATCCCTGATCATACCTTTATATCTTCGGTTACCTCTAAAGAAAATTTTTTCTAAATGCCTTGGAATTTAGTGACTACTTTCCCAATTTAATTTACTCAACTATGTTCCTGTCTATATCTTTCCCAAAGCTTCTGGAGAAAGAATTGCCAGATTATCTGTTCTTCTCCATATCTCCCTGCTTCCTTCTTCTTCCTCAGGTTGTAATTGTCAACAACAGCAGGACTGAACTTTCTGAACATTTGGTGTGGAATTATGTACTGAGTTAAACAAATCCCATTCCCTAAATTGTACAACTCCTTGGCTTCCTCTCACCACTTTATCCAGAGCTTTACACTGTGGCCAGTAGAATCCCTATTTCATGGTAAATGAACTCCCTACCACCTTCAACTCATTCAGAAAGACTTCTCTCCACAATTCCGGGCTTCCCTTAAGGATGCTACTGAACTCCTGACTCCTGAAGCCCTCTTGAAGGAAAGGACCCATTTCGCTCCAGGACACATACCTCAGGTTAGGAGCAGGGGAGGATCTACTTGCTCTCAGAGCCACCAACAGACCCAGTGTTCTTTCAGGGCCATGACCTGTGACTTCCTTCTTCTGCTCCTCATTTCTCGGTCCATGTGGCCAACCCATTTACCACACCTGATTTCCAGGTCCCTTCCCACCCTCTCTCCAATGTTCTCTTTCACTCACTTCAGCCATCCATGTTCCAGAACCCACCTTGGGCCCTCTCATCCCCTAGACTACTCTCACTACAGTTCCCACCCATCCTGGCTCCTAAGGCCCTGACCCAGTTAGCCAGCTCCATGACCTAATCAGATAGCATTCCAACTCTTTGATCCAACTACTTCTCCTAGTTGACTGGCCCATCCTGGCCTCTCATTCTTTCCTACCCAGTTTGGATTCTGAGGCTGATACCCAGAATTGCTCTTTATTAGAACTCTCAGCTCCTTACCAGTAAACCTTTGTCTGGACTTCCTATACCAGTCTACTACCCGGGCAGCCCCCTATTTCTTCTGACCCCCCCCTTTCCTGGCTGGCATGCTCTATATCCTTGCTTAGGCTTCCTGTAGCCACAGTGGAATCTATTCCTAAGTGGCAGCTCTATTTACCTACTCCTGGTTTGGCCTACTCTATTCCCTGTCTAGCTTCCATTCTGAAAGAATGAAATGAAAACCTTGCATTGCTATTATAATATATTACTTTAAAAATACCTTTGGAGATTTATGTTATTTTAGCCACAAGAAAAGCTCTTAAGGGGTGGAAGCTCAAGATAATATTGCAGCTGAAAAAAAAAATCAAGGGTCATGGAGGTTATGTGGCTCCTTACGCTTTTACCATCTCAAAGAGTAGAACTGATTAGTCATCATGATAATCAAAATCCATTTTCATTCAATCTATCTGACATACCTATGCTATGCCAAATTACTTGACATGCTAGTTGTAGGGTGACATGGTGGGTGGACAATAAGCACATTAAACAAAAAGAGACATTCAGAAGAGCAGTATAAAGGGGGTACACTGTAAAGGCAGGGGACTTAGGATCAGTTTTCTACCATAGATGCAGTCAGTTGTCCCAGAAGCAAACATTCAGGCAGCAATTCTTGGCTCAGGGAGAGAAAGAAATCCAATCAAGGAGATGCAGAGAAGCTTCACGCTGGCCAAGCTACTTTGGGCCCTCAGTGCTGGATCTCACAACCAAAAAGCAATAAATGGAGAGGAGTCATAACTTGGGAAGAACAACCAGGCCCAGAGACGGTGAATCAGGGGAGAGAAGAGAGCAATTTGGAACGTATTATGAAACTCCTTTCATGTATAATTAGTATGCACCAAAAGAGAAGACTGGTATGTGACATGCTCATTTCTAAACAAAATAAAAATAAAATAAAGCAGATTGTTTCCCTTCCTATCCTATACCATCTAGACATTTATGATGTAAGAAAGACAGCATGCATAGTCAGGTACAAATCCTAATGAATATACAATAACAATAAGGTAGAACAAAGACCAAAATTAAGGGGGTTTTTTGGGCAGTTTTTTGGCCAAGGCCGGGTTTGAACCTGCCACCTCTGGTATATGGGGCCGGCACCCTACTCCTTGAGCCACAGGCGCTGCCCCAAAATTAAGTTTTTAAAAATTTTTTATGAGATATGTATAAAGAAATCAAAAGATATGCCTCCATAAATCTTGGAGCTTCTTGGAAAAAAGCATCTATGTTTTATCTATATTTATGAGTATCTCTAATAAAATTAATACTGTTATCTGCCCCAAGACTAGCTCCCCCAACCAAAATGCAAATATTTAGCAAAATAATCATTTACCTTATAGAAGATCAAAAAAAGATCATCCAGTTTCCCATGCAAATCACCTGGAGTGCAAATGAAAAATCACTATTCAGTAGGAAACGAGATGTAACAGGATTTTGTTTTATTTAATTAATTAATTAATTAATTTTTTGAGACAGTCTTACTTTGTCACCTTTGGTAGAGTGCCATGGTGTCACAGTTCACAGCAGCCTCAAACTCTTGGGCTTAAGTTATTCTCTTGCCTTAGCCTTCCAAGTAGCTAGGACTACAGGTGCTCACCACAATGCCGGCTATTTTTAGAGACAGGGTCTAGCTCTTGCTCAGGTTGGTCTCGAACCCATGAGCTCAGGCAATCCACCTGTCTCGGCCTCCCAAGTGCTCAGATTATAGGCATGAGCCACTGTGCCTGGCCTATTACAGAATTTTAAAAGTGAAATATTGCTGTTATATTCCACATGTTCTCAGGGCAATGGGTATTTACCTATGATAATGTTAATTTGACAGCCAATCTGTTTCCACAGCACTCTTTTCTTCCCCTGCTATTATAGTGGAATAGCATCTAAGAATGCAATTACTTGTTCACTCTGGCCATTTACATAGGGGTTGGCTTACTCTGGGCCAAGCACTGTGCTAAGGATTTTACATGAATTATCTTCTTCAATCCTCACAACCACTTTGTGAGATGGGTATTATTTTCATCATTCTCATTTTACAAATAAGGCTCAGAGTAGTTAAGTTACTCACATAAAGTTGCCTACCCACCAAGTATCAGAGCTGGAATTAAAACCCAACTTATGTCACTTCAGAACTCACGTTACTAGGGATTACTTTGTACTTCCTATAGCTATTACTTTGTAATCCCTAGTATCTGTTTCATTCAGCATTGAATTTCCAAGTGAGAAAACCTATTGGCCTTGTCTTTTTCCTCTACTAACAGAGCTACATCGGAAAAAGTCTGGAAATAAATGCCTAAGATGTGAAATCTTTAAATGAATGAACTGTCCAATCAAGCCATTCCTAGTCTTTGATGACAGAAAATGAACCATCAGATGTATGATAGGAGTTCAGATAGTATATGTGGGGCTATCTCTAACCTGGGATACAGAAGACCCAATTTTTAATTCTGACCCTGCCAATTGCTACCTGCTAAATGAGCTTTCAGGAGGTAGGGGGAGGGAATTACTACATAGGAATTCTATCCCATAGAAGGCAATACACTTTTCTTTCCAGACCTCAATTTCACCCATAAGAGTAAGACCATCTCTGTATGAACCCTTTAATTCTTATACTGTAGGATTCCAGGGCTTCCATGCCCTCTAATTAATTCCTGTCTTTTTCTGGATCCTTTTATTTTTTATTTTAATTTTGTTTTGAGACAGAGTCTATTTTGTCACCCTTGGTAGAGTGGCATGGCCTCACAGCTCACAGCAGCCTCAAATTCCTAGGCTTCAGTGATTCTTTTGCCTCAGCCTCCCAAGTAGCTAGGACCACAGGCGCCTGCCACAATGCCCAGCTATTTTAGGAGATGAGGTCTCGCTCTGACTCAGGCTGGTCTTAAACCTGTGAGCTCAGGCAGTCCACCTGCCTCAGCCTCCCAAGTGCTGGGATTACAGGTGTGAACCACTACACCCGGCCCTTGTAGATCCTTTTAGCCGGGGATAAGTTTGCGATGGCAACAGGAAGTACACTGGAAACACATGGGAGCAGATCACACTCTCTTTGGCTATTATATATATTCTGATAGCAACTTAGCACTGGCCTCATAGGTGTCACAAGTGGCATGGCTTCCTGGGCCTCATGACCAAATGTTCTTTATTTCCATGAAAAGTAAGGTTAGGAGGTCTTGAATAAAAGACCTCTACTGCTGAGATGCATTATCTGCTAGTCAGAGATGTGATAGCCTGGTTGGATTGGAATTGAACCACTAGGGACTCCTCAAAAACCTAAGTCAGGGAATGTCATGAGGCCTGTACTGTTACATCAAGTCCTTGTCACCACTATCAGATGCTAGAAATGAAAATAGTTTAATTAGATTGTCAAATCCACTTCTACCTGCCACAGTTAAGAGAAACACAGGCTAAAAATTGATTTGGAAAATAACAATCACTGTTTTATAACCTAAAGGCTTAATTAGAAGTTAAGGGAATTGCTGTCCTTTCCACGCACACCACTCTCAAACAGTTGCAAACATGCTGAGCACCAACTGCGATGAATTTCAATGTGTACTGTTTCTTGAAGCAATATCCTGCCAGGCTGGCCTATATGATAGCAAAATCTCAAATTTTGTTATTTAGAAGAACAAGAAACAGATTTCTGGGACATTCCCACTCTTCTAAAAGCTGCAGAGACCAGTTGGAAAAATTTAAAACAGCAGCCAAGGGCAGAGAAGAATTTAATCTCCACCCTGCCTTGGGCTTTTCTCTTCCCTGTGTAAGTGGCATGCAGAGGCCCACCTAGAAAAAGCAACATGGAACAAAGATAATGAGAACTAGATGGAGGGCAAAGAATGTTTATTCCACCCATGGGTGGTTTTCCATATTAAAATGCTGTCTGCTTTTATAAAAAGCTATGAGTTCTTTAATTTCTCACATAATTAATTCCTGCCAGCTGGTATGTAAAACAAAGACAAGATGGGGAACAGTATTATCATGATAGATAATTCTATATTAACATTTTCCCTTAACACGGTCCAATTTACACAGTTTTCAATTTAGACAAATGATATAGGACCAAGAGGCTCCTAAATATTAATTTGACAATTCTGCTCTGAAACTTACCGCAAATTGTAATCTCTCTAGAGGGAGATGTTTTTATGTGAGTGAAATTTGGCATCTGCTTCAGGATTTTCTTGGTTTCAAATAGCACCTCTAAGACATAATGAGCATGAAGTATCTATGAGGGAGAAGCAGAGGAAACATATGATGAACTAGAAAGACAGACATGACTGTATAGAAAACTATAATGGTGGAGCATATGAGCACATTTCAGGTTGCTACATTTCAGGATAACTCTCAAACAGATTATCCTAGCACAGTGTCTAGTATTTACTAAGCCCTCAGTAAATATTTATAATGGAATGAATGACTAGTTGCTAAGACATTTATACTGTCATGTTCTTAACTGATACCATCCATTTGTAGAACATTTCTGATCATTCTTGGTCCTTAAAGCTCAAGAGAAGTTGGAGGTGGGGTAGTGACAGGAAAGGATATTCCCTTGCCCTAAGGAAATGTGCAAATTAAAAAATCCCAGTAACAATAATAATAATAAAAGAGAAGGAGAGTAAGAATAAAAAAAAAAAAGGAGAAAGTATGTTGAAGAGATGTTGCTTTGCAATTGTTGGGACATCCTGCTACTTGGGATGGAAACTTAATGTTGCTGGGCTCAGACAGACAAGCTCCCAAGAAACTCCTGAGTCAGGTTTCCCAGGTGTGGGTTCCAATATTTGGTGTACAGTCTTAAGAATTTTAAGAACAGCAAGCACATTTACATAAGAGTCCAAGCATAAAACATATTCCAAACCCAGATAAAACATTTGGATTATCTCCTATTTGTGATTATTCATCTCATTGCTCTCCTCCAGTTATAGTGTTGATGAGATCATTGTTTTGTACAGACTTACTCTGTTTTCTCCCTGGGCTGTTTTTTTTTAACCTAGTGTGTCATTCTCCCTTTTTTAAATTATAAAATATTCCAAATACATACTCCAAAATATAATATAGCAGAGACATGACTACCACACAAATTTAACAGATGTCAATGCAACTGTAAAGTTCAGGGTTATTTTGACCTGTCCTGTCCAAAATGGCAGCCACTAGCCACATGGGGCTATTGAGCACCTGAAATGGAGCTGAACTGAGATGCACTCTAAGAACAAAATTCACATTGGATTTCAAAGACTTAGTATCAAGAAAAAAAGTACAATGTCTCATTAATAATTTTAATGATTACATATTAAAATTATAACATTTTGGCTCAGGGCCCGTAGCTCAGTGGGTAGGGCACTAGCCACATACACTGAAGCTGGTGGGTTTGAACCCGGCCTCGACCTACTAAACAACAATGACAACTGCAACAACAAAAAATAATAGCCAGGTGTTGTGGTAGGCACCTGTAGTCCCAGTTACTTGGGAGGCTGAGACAAGAGAGTAGGCTTAAGCCTAAGAGTTTGAGGTTTCTATGAACTGTGACGCGATGGCACTCTACCCAGGGTAACAGCTTAAAACTCTGTCTCAAAAAACAAAAACAACAACAACAAAAAATTAACAAACACACTGCAACACCACCAACAAAAAAATAATAGCCAGGCATTGTGGCGGCTGCCTGTAATCCCATCTACTTGGGAGGTTGAGGCAAGAAAATCACTTAAGCCCAAGAGAGTTTGAGGTTGCTATGAGCTATGATGCCACAGCACTCTACTGAGGGTGACATAATGGGACTCTGTCTCAAAAAAAAATTAAAAATAAAATAAAATTATAACATTTTAATATATTGAGTTAAATAAAATGTTATTAAAATTAATTTTATCTTTTTTTGTTTTTCAATGTGACTACTGGGAAATTCTAAATTATGTACATGGCTCATATTTCTATTAGTACTGTTTTAGATTATTAAAGGCTGAGAGAGGGGTCATATCTACATATTACTCAGATACTGCTTTGGATATGGGATTAAGGGCAGGTGGAACCCTTTGAACCAATCCTGTCTCATGGTGTCCTGAAATTTTCATTTTCATAGCTATTAATAATATAATAAAATTATTTTCTATCTCAGACCCCAAAACATGCAATTTAAGTTTTGAGAGTTTTGAGAATTTTCATGATTAAATAAGTTTTTTAAGAAACTGGAAACAGGATTTAAAACAATGAGAGAATTAAGAAGAGATGAGTCCCTCAATATTAGTAGAGAGAGATTAGTAGAGAGAAACCCATATTTTCTGTCTATCCAACACCAAATTCACTGCTCCGTGTTTTCTCTACAAAAGCATTCTAAATTCACTTAATTGACAACTTAAATCAAAATTTGAATATGAATTTTCCTTTAGCCACATTTTAAAGGAATGAACAAAAATACTTTTGTATAATGGCTTCTATCAGTTTGTATATCTTATCTATTAATTCCCAACACTGGCTTCAGTGTTAAGTTTTCATTGTAGTTTTTCTGGTCCCTTTGTAGTACTAAACACAGTAACTGCTGTTTGAAGAGGCAGTTTTTTTAATTAATTAAGTTTTTTTTTTTTTTGAGACAGAGTTGCACTATGTCACCCTCAGTAGAGTGCTATGGCATTACAGCTCACAGCAACCTAAAACTCCTGGGCTCAAGCGATTCTCTTGCCTCAGCCTCCCAAGTAACTGGGACTACAGGCACCCGCCACAACACCCAGCTATTTTTTCTTGTAGTTGTCATTGTTGGTTAGCTGGCCTGGGCCAGGTTCAAACCCACCACCTTCGATGTATGTGGCTGGTACCGTAACCACTGTGCTACGGGCACCAAGCCTTAAATTTTTTTTTTTTTTTTTGAGATAGAGTCTCACTCTGTCACCCTGGGTATAGTGTAGTGTCAGAGCTCACAGCAACCTATAACTCCTGGGCTATACCTCTTGCCTCAGCCTCCTGAGTAGCTGGGACTACAGGCCTGCACCACCATACCTGGCTAATTTTTTCTATTTTTAGTAGAGACAGTCTTATTCATGCTCAGGCTGGTCTCAAACTCCTGAGCTCAAGCAATCCACCCACGTCAGCCTCCCAGAGTACAAGGATTATAGGCATGAGCTACTACGCCCTGACCAGTTTTGTTTTTTTTAAAGTATAATTTAGAAATATTCACTGAGACTATATTGCAACAACAGAAGATTCTTATATTGAAATAGTTTTTCTATTTTAGATTGGTAAAATCACTTTGGTATCTAGCAAGTTATCTTTTGCTTATAAGGCTATCTTTCAATAACATTATAACTGTTATATTTATAACTACAATATTAAATACTCAGGTGGTGGTTGTTCCATTTATAAATATATTTAGATTAAATAACTACCTAAATAAAATATGAATTTTCTTTAATTAATATTAATTTTCTTTTAAAAACATTGCAGGAGGAAAGTACTACCTTTAAAGAATATTTCTTTTCTAAAAAAAATGAGGTTTAGATAAACAATTCATTTCTCTAGTTTAATAAAAATTTAAACAGTTAAAAGGGTAGAACAATGAAAAATAATTTTTCCTCTTCCCTAGACCTCAGGCCTCAAATCTCTGTTCCCAGAAACAACCACTGTTAAAAGTGTCTTGAATATCTTTCCCCAAAATATTTTTTGCATTTGCAAGCAAACAGAAATAAGTGTAACCACACATGAATATGCAAATGCAAGTACAAATATATAATCCCTTAAACAATGTGGTATATCCATACAAAGTAATATCATTTAGCTGAAAATAGGAATGAAATACTGGTATATGCTACAACATGGATGAACCTTGAAAACATTATGCCAAGAAAAAGAAGCCAGATATAAAAGGCAACACATTATTTGTAGGAGTTCCTTTATACAAAATGTTCAGATTAGATAAATTCATAGAGACAGAAAGTAAATTAGTGGTCACTAAGAGCTTGGGAAGGGAGGAAATGGAAATGATTACTAATGGATACAGGGTTTTGTTTTAGGGTAATGGTTAGAATTAGATACTGATGATGGGTGCATAACATTTTGAAGATACTAAAAACAGCTGAATTATGCACTTTAAAACGGTTAATTGATCAATTTTATTACTTATATAAATTTTATCTCAATTTTTAAAAATCAAAATTTACATGATCCTTAATTTTTTTTTTAAAAAAGGGAGAACATACCATGATGAACCTTTTACTCTTCCTTTAAGAATATAATTTCCTCATTTTTATGAAGTCAAAATTATCAATCTTTTCTATTATGGCTCCTTGGATTAATATATCTTTTATCTCCTTGAACATATTAAGAATATTTATTTTAAACTCTTAGTTTGAGAATGCCATTATTTAAAAGACCTTCTCTATTTCCCCCTCCCTGAGGTTTCTTTCATGTGTCATATAACCTGCTGTGCCTGGTTATATTTATGTCAAGTTCTGGAAATTGTATCTGAAAAACTGGAGAAATAATTTCAGGACTATTTTCTTCCAGAGAGGATTTTAATTTGCTATTGGTAGGTGGCTAGGAGCACTAATTATCTAAGGTGATCTCAATTCAATTTCAGGAATCATATGATTCATTCAAAGTTGCTCTTCAATCCCTGAAGAGCCACTCAAATTCTCTAACTCATTCTTAGTCCTAGGCGTGCCCTTTAGGGTTCTAACCTAAAAATAAGGATGAGATGTCAGAAAAAATGATGGAGTTGGTAGCCCCAAGGTCTCAATCCTCCACAGGGTTTGCTTGAAGCAAAAAAACTGTTGGAATCAACTTTGTCAGAATTCTGGAAAATATTCAAAGTATACAGCATCTAAACAAACACTGAATCGAGAAAAAGGAAACTTAACAACAGTTTAGCACAAGCAGGAAGTTAAGACTAAGATTTGTAAATGGCCTGGCTAGGCAATGAAGGAGCACCCCAATACAAAGCAAATCTGCAAAGATTGGGAAAGGTTTGTTTCTTTTTCTTTTTCTTCTATTTTTTTTTTGTTATGGCTCCTAAGATTAATGGAAATCTCTTTCAAAACACTAACTGAACGCAAGCTAAAGAACTAGAGATTTCAGGACCACACACACTAGACCTAACAGATATCTATAGAATGTTCCACCCACCAACAGCAGACTATTCATTGCTCTCAAGGATACATGGAAAATTCTCCAAGATAGACCAGATTGTAGGCCACAAATTAAACCTCAGTAAATTTAAAAAGACTGAAATCATGCAAAATATCTTCT